ATTTAAATTTTTAAAAAAATAGATCAAAAGTAAATTTATACTAAAAATTGCAGGCAAATTTGCCTGCAATTGCTTACCGTTTAAGGGATAAATCTTTTCTATTTAAATAAGACATTTACTTATTTTTAACTATAATTACTTAGTGTTTTATTTTTTATTTTTATATACTAATTACAGTCAAACTTCTCTATAGTCACCTCCTCTACAGTCACAAATCTATATAATTACATTTTTATTTTTACCAACCTTTTTTATATTATTTATACCTCTATATAGACACAATTATCCTATAGTTACTATTATATTTTTTTGATATCTGATTATATAAGAGGAGCATCAGAAATCAGCTGATTTTTTAGAGGTGAAGAGAGTAAAAAAAATTATCAGGTATATAGTTTTAGCTAATTAAAATTTTTATTTAAAATCAGGTAGAGGAGAAGGGGGTAGCCTCTTAATAAAAAAATATCAGCTGATAAATAGTCCTTCCCTAAGAGGAGAGCTATTTATCAGCTAATATTTTTTTATTAAGAGGCTACCCCCTTCTCCTCTACCTGATTTTAAATAAAAATTTTAATTGGCTAAAACTATATACCTGATAAATTTTTTTACTCTCCTCCCCCTAAAAAATCAGCTGATTTCTGGTGCTTCTCTAACACCATATAAAATTATCTTTTGTAAAATCATACTATAAATAGAACAAATTAGATTTTTATTCTTTTGATTTTAGCTATTGTGTGTAAAGTTCTAAAGTTTTTTTTTAATTTTGTAGATTAACTAAATCTAGTATTCATATGTACATACACACATATATATGCATATAAGATGTACTATAATTTATTGTAAATATTTTTAGCTTTTATAGATCTAAGCTTTACTGTATATATATATATGCGAATTAGAAATTTTGAGGTATTATATCACTGATCATAATTTTAAAATAGGAATCAGTTAACTAACAAGAATACGAATACAAATTGTTAATATTTAGGTCTTTGCTTTACAATCTTATCTGATTATAACAAGACAATTATAATTTTAACATTTAGATAGTTTTTTTTTTAAGACCAAAGCTATATCCTTTATTTTAAATAAAGAATCGCCCTTTCTCGAGATTTAATACCCAGAACTACACCAATCTTCTATTATAACCAAATAAAACAAAAAAAATATTATCCAAATAAACCAAAAAAATAAAAAATATCAAAAAAAAAAAGGAATTCAATTTAGAACTTGATAAACATAATACTACTTATTTAGAATTATTGAAAGAAAGATATAATTGAGGTTTGTTTTTTAGATTTATCTTTTTCATATTGCCATTCTTTGAACTTTTTCCTTAACATAATTAACTTATTTTCATCAAATCTATTTCTAACGTTGAGACTCTCTTGATACCTTATAATTTTCTCTAATACTTCAATAGCCTCAGTTATGTTTATTAAGGTAGTAGTAGTTCTTCATCATTTTTATTATCATCATTAGTTTTATCTTTACAAAATTCGTCTATTATCATTTCAATAATATCTTCATCAGTTAGTATATCCTCTGTCACAGCTAGTTGATTAATTATTTGGATATATTCTTCAATATTATCTGTTAGTTCTTGAATTGTTAGGTTAGTTTTAGCTGAAAGGTCTTTAAGTAGTATAGTAGTATCATCTATATCAGTAGTCTTATTTTGAAATTTATTATCTGATTCACTTTCTTCCGATTTGCTTATTTCTAATATAATCTTGATAGCTCTGCAGCAATTTTTTATAGTAGTTTCACTAACTTCATCTTAAGTATCAGAGATAAAATATATAATAAGTCACAGTAAAACATAATACTAATTCTTTTATAAAATATTCACATGTAATGATAAACATTCAATGAACTTGTTACAGGGACAAGCCAGAGTTAATACATACAACTATTAGATCGTTATTTTATAATTTATCTAACTGCAGTCTCCTACTATTTACCCTAACCTAATAATTTAGTAAATATAACACTCATAGTAGATACTAGCATAATGATCATTTCATTATATTTATTTTATTTATATACTCCTAAGTTACAAACTATATTCTCAAAAAAAGTAAGGTTTAAGATCAAAATCGTGACATACTAATATTTATACTAGTTTTATACAATTAAATTTTTTTTTTTTTCCTTTAACCACAACTAATTTGGCACATTGAATGGCCAAAACTCTTCAATTGCTTGATAAGTTATTGAT